CCTTCTCGACTTATTCGTGTCTGCATCATATATGGTGACACTCGTCTTGACTTTCTAACGCTGGATGATCGAGTCGAGACCATACTCTTCGTCGCTCATTAGCATGTACGCCGCAAGGACATAGATTAGCTTCTCGGGGATCTCCCCGACTTCAATGTTTCAGCTGAATACGGCCCCGACCGATCATAGACCCATAGCTCCAGTTGCGTGCCAAACATAAGGAATCTATGCGCCAATTTCTACAGTAGCTGAGCCGAAAATATCTCCCGCATGTAGACCGAGAGTTGGAGAAACTTGTCGACCCACAGTCTAGAATAAAGCTCAGTCAGCTCTCCCAGAACAAGGAAATCTCGCCAATCATGGGCTTTTGAAGCTTTTTCTTGAATATTGATAAAGATATCGATCCGTCGTATTGCTAGTCCTCCGTTGATGTGTCTGGGTACTATCGTATGAAATGCATCGGCTCGAAGGGGGAAGATGTCCTTATTTCACAAGACTCATCGGGTTTATACGGCTCGATGAACTCAGTTTGGACTGCTTTATCTATTTCCAGACATTGGTTTCCGTTGGAGCCTTGGGCAACCTCAATATCAATTTGCATGGCCAACTCTCGTAGCGCTTCGCAATTTCCTTACCCTGACCGGTCCAGGTTATATTTTCAAAATTGTTTTGGTGAGATCCACCGAAATTTTCGAAAATAGTGCCGGCCAGCTCAGTACGAAGCGCTTCTTTCAACGTTTCCATGATCTGGTCGGCTCCTTCGTATGAGGCCGTACACCGCCTGTGACGCGCATCGCATTGTTTGGCAGATGGAACATTCGTCTCAGGCGATTGGATTGGCTCGAGGGTGTCGACAAGTTCGATCACTTCATTCCATACTTCAATGTCTGTAGCATTAGATATTATGGAATTGATTAATGGTATGAAAGAAGTCAGTTGAATGCTATGAAGCCACTCGTTCCTCAATTGACCTGGGGCGTATATTTATGTCTGTCCTAGCGAGAGACCAGACAGTTTTTTTTGGGGCATAGAAAGTTAGAGAGCCCGTCAGAGTTTCAATGACTAATTCAATAGACTGCAAATCAGCATTTTCGCCAGGTGTTCGTGGCTAATATTCGAAATTCCAAAAGCAAAGACCTTTAAACGATGAAGTGATCTTTCTCAATAAATTTGCCGTGAAATGCGCGGTGTTATCGAAAAGGGTAGATATCTCGTTGTCTAATACTGATATAAATAAAATAGGAAGAAAAAAAAGCCCATGTAAAGATGCGAAAAATGGGAGAAGCGTCGGATACTGGTCGATAATTATAGGCAGTTGATGTTAAATACATAGAAATTAGATACCCTACCATGGATACTAGGGTATTTCCACTCCTTTGATGATCTAAGGAGGCGGAATTTTGAACATAGCTCCATCTCGGAAATTGTGGATGTAGATCCTGATAATGCCATGGGTGCTTCGTCCTGCTCGCACAGCTACTTAAATAACACTGCCCGCACATCGGAGTTTCAACCTTGGCGAAGTGCTCAGTAAGTAATTAGTAGCATATTTTTTTTTCTTTTTTGTGCTATTTGAGTCTTTGATCATCTAGCATTCGGACTCCTCTCTGACCCAGGCCACAGCTTTCACAGTGCTTTTGTCGTCTTTTGTTACGAGAAAATATCTCTGATGAGTTGACCGTGATGGATAGCCATTCAAATGAGTGTTTAAACATTGAATTTAGCCAGTCTTTGGACTAATTAAACTTTTAAGCTGTCCTTAACTCTGTGCCGGATAATGGGCAGCAAGATGAATAATGTGGCATATATTGTAGAGATTAAAGAGAGAGAAGATGTTGATTAGGAAAGAATACAATTGTGAATACGTGTGATTAGCCCAGAGTAGCATGGAAATTGTGAATGTAAAATTGAAATGGTTATGTCAAAGAGGGGTCAAGTGCGCGATATATATAAGCACGTGTAAAATCCCTGTCAATTTTAACCGATCCCCGCACTGCCATAGTCATCATTCATCTCTGATTAGACTGTGACCCCGCTTCTTGTAAGGCCCAGAGGATTAGCGACGACACAGTTGTCTGTCCTAGCTTTCGAAGCTTCAATTTGTACCTCAAATTGGCGTTTTCCTGGCTTGCAGATGTTATTCCAATGTAGCCTCCGACAACGTGTCCCTCGGGCCCTCCATTATTTAGATTGTTGGGTGCCTCAGCGACTAGAGCACTTCGCTCTAGCGTAATTTGCCATTAGATGTAGTAAGCGCGTGTGGATTGCGTACCATGCTAGATAGACGTAAGATACCACTAAATAAAACCATGAACCTCAATCATCCATCGCAATCCGGAATGTCAATATGAGTTACCAACATACGCTAAGTTTTTACTGATCAATAACAAGAGATCTCTGCAAATACGGCACCTGCTGCCCCAAAAATTAAAATACGTGACAAAGGAAACTGTGTGTGCGATAAAATCGATGTAGCCCTAGTCACGCGAGGTGCGCACATCCATCTGTACAGTGTGGACTCGTTATGACGTTATGATTCTGTAAGGTTTTTTTCTATCGTTACAACGTGATATCGATTGTGTCATAGCTAGATAGCTGCATACGCAATTAAAATCTGATGCAAAAAAAAAAAACGTGATATCGTAGGAGGGTACAACTGAACACCTGTTCGCGATATCGTCTACGAACCTGGGAGTGAAGTATTCTCCCAGAGGCAATGATTAAATACTCTCCACCAAATTAATTTCTCTCATCCAACGAGATCGATCCCCACCAAGACCTCATCAAGTTTGCAGGTACGTCTTAGTACATCCTCCTTCCAATAACCACATCTCTATTTGACCTTCTCTGGCCTCAGCTGACCACCAAGTAAACGCTCACGCCGATGTTTGCACCCGACGGAGGAAACAATGCGTGGCGTACAAATCTGAGAGACAGTTCTGTGGGATTGATGTGAGAGGAGTCAGGACAAGCTGAAAAGACGATGCAGATATAGCTGTAATTTCGACAAGCGTCAAATTTATAATTTTGGCGAGGAATTTTACGAATTGAGCTTTGTGCGCGCCAAGACTTCGCTTGCGAGAGTGCAGGCGACACTATAAACACCGCCATGGCTGGGTTGTGCTATGGTACATCATCTGGGCCGGTCTACCAAATAGAGTCTGGATAGCTTGGACACATTTCCCACTCGAGACAGTAGATCGCTGGTTCAAACCCGGCAAAACACAACCATATTTCTCGCGGCGCTGGTATACATAGACGACTAAGGCACACTTGGATAATCAAAGCTTGGGAAATTCCCTCTGGTGGTAATTACGGAGGAGGGTCGACTATTTGTGAGCAGGCATACCTCGTAATCTTTTACCCGGGAGATATCAGACATCAAACGTGCAGACTTTGCCGATGGTTTTTTATTTATCTTTATTTAACGTCTGGCGGATCACACGTCAAGCGAGTAACCCTATTAAGTCCCTACTGAGACAAAAGACGCTTTGCCGATGGTTAGGAGATATACGGGACCTTCCCTCTCGGATTAGTTGTCTTGTCTCACGTGTAAAAAATAGACAGTGTCTGGTCTTCGTGCCCTTGCTTCATCGTGTTGTCGTAGCCCTTCACCAAATATGCAGCTACTCTACTGACGCTGCGAGTACCATTCAACACTACTTTTGGGAAAAATGCGTTCCTTGATACCTCACACGTCCAACTGCCTTTCGGGAGTTGGAAAAAGAGGGATAGAAGCCAAATGATGAAACTTGAACCGAAAGAATTATTATACGGAAATCGATAATTGTCCTCAATCGAGTGGTGAATATTTGAGAAAACAGGATTAGGGTTGAATGGAATTAGCCAAGTTTGATATAAATTGAGTTTTTGTAAATTAGTGTCATAGCTAGAGGGGCCGAATACACTCAATGATTAAGAGGAAAGTTTAATTGGCCTCTCAGCCCTCTAGAATTCACTATTTGCCACTCTTAATATCTCCTATCTGGTCTAATATCTCCACAGTCTTCCTACTTTACACTCTTTAGAAGATCTGACTTTGATAGCGTCCAGTAACCTATCCTTATTCCTTGTCACGGTTTGAACGTTGTTTGAGCTTAGGTGGATACCTAAGCGTAACACTTAGATTGTTTACAATAAGGTTGCATGGGGAGGGAAAGATGGAACTAGACGAAACAATAATAATCAGGAGGCTAGATCGCTGTTACAACTAAGTAACGCCTAACAATACGTGGCTAATTAGCGAGTATGATGTCTGGAGGAAAGCTCTCAGTTAGTTGATTCACGAAGCGGATTAGTCGTTTTAAGTGACAGTTAGTTGTGGCTAGAGTTCTCTTTCCTCTTCGTATAGTTTAATAAACAGATAAAATCCTCACCAACTCGGTGTCCGTCACATTCCTGCTCATCTTCTTACACTGTTTTCTTCCAAGTAGAACCAGCATTACTTGATTGATTCGGTAGATAGTATCGCAGTTTCTCTATCTACATCATAATAGAATGTGCTTTTGAATATCCATCAGTTCAGTAGTCAGGGTCTAGTCCCGCTGTCACGGTGAACAAAGGATTAAGCTTAGATGGCCGTCTGCCGAAGGTATCCTGGTGGTTACTAGGGTATTCAGTAAAGTCGAAGGAAATTTGATAGTAAATATGCGTCGTAAACTAATTCAGCGACGTTCCAGGACCTTGAGACAGGGGAGAAGATGAAGACAGAACAGAGTGATGTAACTAATATTAAAAAAATTTCAAGTTGAGAAGCTAGAAAACTACTTTGTGGTGGCTCCAGCTTCCTCAATTCCGGCCTAACATCCAATATATCTAAATCATGACGAAACAAGATCGAGTGATGACTCCAACGACGACAACTACAGGAGTGAGTCAAAGTTGTGATTCATCTAGCATTACAGTCTGCTTCAAAAATATCTGAATCTTCCCACAAAACTTCTTAATAAACCCCATCTATTTCATGGATATCTCGCCATGACATTCAAGAATAGATCAGATCATGGATCAAAATCGCGATGGAAATATCTCACTAGGCGTCCGACCCGTGAAAATCTGATTAGCGGGCGACTTTGCTCGCGAATTTCAAGCTCCCGTGCTTCATCACGTGAAATCCGAGTAGAGGAAGCGGGCGCTCGGCTCAAGTCAACATTATCTGGAGTCTTGCTCAGCATATCAATGGAGCGCAGAGGCTTCTTTTTGGGACCCGTAGAGGCGGGTTCGGGCGAATGAACGAGCATGAAGTCAATCACTCGGTATGCAGGTCTAGAGGAGTTTTGGATTTTCACGCGTCGTAGAAATTTTGGATGATAGATTGTCTGGTTATACTTTTTTCTTAGACTCTCTGTGTACTTGTACTTTATTGGTACTCCAATCCGACGTATATGGACTTGACGGGCAGGCATGTTGGATGTAATGATGTTATCAAGCTGACTCTTATGGTTAGAGCGAGGCTCATTAGATGTGCTAGCGGAAATTTCGGAATTGTTCGCTAGAATAGTCGTATTTTCCCTCGCTCTCTTTCGCATTTCGGCCAATCGTGCTTGCACATCACTTTTCGGCCGACCCAGATGAAACTCCATGATAGGCCTGATATCTTGATTGGTGTCCAACGAATAGGTGTGGGTCTCATGCAGAATAAAAGATTTCGCGGTAATCTTATTCCCAGTCCTTGAGAGTATTTCATTCAATGCCCGCAAGGAGTTGCGAGTCTCTCTAACATCTTGCCCAGGATTTGTATGAAATGGTGAAAAGGTAAAAGTGCCTCGTCTATCGTCTTCTGTTGGAAAAAGAGTGTAAGAGGCACTGGCACAACTCCCTCCCCAATGAAATAGAGCAGATTTGATTTCTTCAAAGATGCTGTGACGATACTCAAAGCCAATCTGAAATCCACCGCGTATCGCTACGTATCGAGGTATGATTTCTAGTTCGAATTGATCGTAACGAAGAAGCTGCTCAAAAATTTCATGCTGGATAAGATTTCTATGCATTGGCTGCATATGATGATAGATCAGAGGACTGAGCCCTAAGTGGGGTGAAGAAATTGGGCCCGGGTGGCGAGAAGAGGTAATCCTCTGCCCGAACAGCTTGATGACATTTTTCAGGTAGTTTACTGATGCGGGTTGAAACACGGCATTTAAACTGAGGTGCACGGAATGTAAGGAACTGGGCTGGATTATAGCCGGGTAGAGCCTCATAGGGATGTTGTCGATTTATGGAATGGACCTTGGGCCTGCGTGTGAAGAGTCAAGGGTATAGTTTAGTAAGCACGGACAGCGGATGCCGTGCGGTAAATGACTAAACTCTCTACTCCGACAACCGGAAGGACAATTAACTAATCTGAGGCTCTGGCCATACAATGGTAACTCGACCTTCACTTCTAACACAGGAACAACATGATGTGAAAAAAACGCATAAGCATCCTTGTCATGTTTATTAACACAGTCCAGCAGGCGTTTCGATGGGAATCCGAGCGCAAAAATCTCCAAGAACCGAATCGATTATTTTCAGACTCAGATTTTGGTTGGAACTCCCGGATTTTAGGGATTTTTCGACTAAATAAATCACGAATAAAATTATCAAGACCACTCAGGTTGAATACAGCACTCCCTCGTGATGAACCAAGAAGGTCTTGACGTCCTTATTTAACGCAGGAAAAGTCACGATACTACCTCCGCCTCCAACAGTATTATCAAAGGATGCCGAAATTTTGGTTTTTAGAAGAAACGTCTGATGAAGAAACTAAAGCCTGCGAGTGTAGGTGGGGGAGATGCTGGCCTGTGGAAGCTTTGTGAGTAGTTGAAGTAGAGCACACAATATTGGAAAGATATTTACGAGAAAGTTGGTAGAGGGAACTATTCCTTCGAAACTCTCTGAGCTCTCTGAGGTACTGAGAAGTAGCTGGGCCACTCATTTTTCTAAGCTGGGCTTATTTAATGGTGTTGGTACGTCGGGTAGTCTATATAAACTGAACCAACAGGTACTTAGCCCTGTAGTCTAGTGTGGCGCGCCTGCACGACACAAGGTGGCTAAAAAATTTAAGAGACACTATACTCTGGTCTCATTTCTTTCTATTGATCCACATTATATTCAGGTATCTCGCCACGAAAATCTAGCTTTATATATGCAGCAAAAACCAGGCGTGGATTTGATTAAATAAGGTATATTCCAAGAACTTTCCCAAATATTTCCTTAGTGCCACTATTTCCCTCTCATTTCCGTTCTTTGTGTGCCTAATATGTTCCCTTTGTGTGTTGATATGCACTTGGGAATTTTCTGATATTGTAGTAAGACTTCCCTCTCTCTTTTAGTCCTTACTATAACTGGGAATATTATTGGTTGTATACCAGCGAATACCAATTCTACTTGTCTCCTAAAATTTGTGCAGTGAAGTATTGGACGCTTTGTTGTCTGCTCTTTCGAATGTCAGAAATTACACCTCTTATATTCACCTTTGCAAGTAAACGTAGAAATGCCCTAGAACTTCCAATACTAGCTGAGCTTGAAAATATCCAGGCTCATCTGGCTTGGTGTAGCCCTGGAAGTCAAATGGTGTTAAGGAGGATTATGGTGAGTGCTCTTGAGCTTGCATCTTGTAGCACTTGCAGAGCCCTCAGCATCCCCTTCATTCCTCTTCCCTGGGCAGCTCTGTTTCCCAATCGTTTGCCATTCCTTGACAATGTCTTTGGACTTTTGTCTTGGAAATGAATGTCGTATCAAAATTGTTGGAAATTTCGCGAAAAAGAATGGGCGCAAGATTCTTGGCACGAAAGACGTCGATTATCAGAGTGTCGGGTTCAGATTACCACCTCAATAGCAAAAGTTGTGTGCTATAAGCACAAGAGATGTAGAGGATGACACGACTGAACACCTGTACACGATGTCCTCTTCGAATCTAGAAGTGAAATATTCTCCCAGAGCCAAGTTCAGTCAAATTTCGCAATATCAAAGAAGTTGGCCCACGAGGCAAAAATTCAAAATACTCCTCCATGTCCATCTTTCACTCCCAACGAGTTCGAATCCTACCTAAGCCTCATTAAGTCTGCAAGTATGACCGAGTACAACCTTACTTCAATGACCACATCCCTCGTCGACTTTCTCTGGCCTCAGTTGTCCACTCCATACAAGCCAAGGACAAGGTTTTTAGCGCGCAAAGTTGGGAGGCAGTTCTTTGGGATTAGTGTGAGAGAAATGGGAATAAGTTAACAAGAGAGAGACTATTCTCAACACCTGTCAGTGGTGTCCCCTACGAACTTCCAGCTCTTACTGTAGAGTCTGCAGAGCCGAGATTGAGTAACAAAGTCTTCACTCCGTCGAGGATTCCCAATCGCTTTCGCGGTCTATATCGTCTTCATCTCTCAACACATTCCCCTATCACCATTGCCACGAAGCTAACCACGATTAAATCAGATGGTAGGGTCGGAGCCCTACTCATCACCAACCCTTGATCATGGAGGAAAAGCCATCCGATGAGTTTTCGGAGCGTACCCAGCACCCAAGACGAAGATGGTGGATTGGATCAAGTTGGCCTCGACTGTTACAAAGAAGGGCCATGTAGATGGATGTGCGCGCATGTGTAACTAGGTCTACGGGATTTTCGAGACTTTTTCCCGCGCACGCAGTTTCCATTGCTGCCATTTTTATTTTGGGGTAGAAGGTTCTGAGGAAAAAGTGGCTGAATTCCGCGGGTAGATACTGATATGAATGGTTATTCATCAAGGGCAACATATCAATGATCTTTCAAGTAAAAAAAGTGGATAAGAGTATTGTACAAGGTGTGGCCTGGGTCAGAGAGGAGCTCAATGTGCTGGAAAGTCTATGACTCAAGTGGTACGATAGACACACTCACTCACTTAACAAGATATGTAAAGGGAGGGCACCATCATGGCGGATGTAAGTGATCATCTCCGGTGTAGTTTGAGTAGCCTGGAGTTACGGGATCACCCGTGATTGGTTGTCTGGGCTGACCTGGGTGCCCAGCATTGCATCCAATCAGTGGGTGGCAACGGGCTTATCCTTTTAATCTGAGCAAGATCTATTGGGAGTGCTTATGTAAGGTGATTGTCAGGGTAGAATTTGTGTTGGCACAATCCAGTCGTAGTATTCATTCTCATAAAAAAAATTGATTATTTTATGGTATTGCTTGCGTGCAGTGACCGTTTGCCTTAGTCGTTAACACTTGGGAAGGAGACGTTTAAGATCCTATTTCGCGCGGAGAAGAGTAAATGGATGGAGGCATGTCTGGATAACTCTGGGTTTTTGAGAGGTTTGCCTGGGTGGGTATTCACGGATGAGGGTTGAATTTGGGGGGGGGGAAGAAAAATCGGCAGACTTGCAAATGAATCCGAGGCATGAGTGCTCGTACTGTATAATGGATAAAATTTTCTGTAATTCTTTCTGATATTGTGTCATGGCTAGATAGCTGCATTCGCAACTAAAATTTGATGCAAGAAAAATATGCCCGAAATAGCTAGTAGGCTATCACATCCGAATAGCATCGAATAGAAATGAAGTTTTAGCCTACAGACTAGATCCAACCAGACCTTAACCTTTGGCAATGCACAAGGGTGACTGCGGCCCGGCCTAGTTGCCACTCGGCGAGCGTATCCTCACGCACAATGGCTGCTTTGCGAAATTTCGAGCGAATCAGATCGAAGCAACTCGATCCATCCAACAGGCCGCTTCGAGGTTCTCCAAATCCACACGTTTGTAGATTTCATCACAGCACGGTGAAAGACTTACAAGTCCAGCCGCGACGGGGATACCACGTTGGGAGCATAGCCCGACCTGCGCCCAGCTCACTTTTCTCCTTCGCCCCAGAGCTGGATCGGAATCAGAGATTTTGGGTCAAGGTGCGATTATCGAAAATGGCGGCGAGTGGTTGAGCGATAGGCACTTTGATGTCGGCACTTGGGGGGGGCGCGACATCCACCGACTTCTGCGAGTTACCCGGCTGGCCCACATCGGCAAACGCCTCCATCACGTTGGCTGGGGAGATAATGTACGGGACATCAGGCCCGCCTTGTGTGGGTATAAATGCCGGAATGGGGCGTTTGGGGAGGCAAAGAAGGGTATGTACTCACTGCGACAAAGTCACTTCAGACTGACGGCGTCGAAGGCTCACGAGTCCGGCACAATCTTCGTCCAAAGAGGGATCTGAGATGTCCCGAAAAAATAGCGCAAAACACTAAACTCTCGTGATGCAGTCTTTCCTATTCTGTGTACGGCCCTTCGTAGTCATGGACTCAGTAGGGACATTGATAAAATTCTATTCTATTGTGTGCGCCTGACCAGTGCGTAAGGATTAGCCCAAGGTCGAAGCTTCCATGGTTTGGCAGGATTCCGAGGTTGCGCGGTGGGTAGACTGGGAGCACGACTGACCTCAGCCACCTCGGCGGCCTGGGCCAGCGCTGAAGCAGACCCAGGCCATGCGTAGAGTAGCTCCTACGGCCGCCGCTTGATTGGATTGAGGCTAACAAGGTGCCTGCAACCTTCGACTGGAAGAAACTTACAGAGTGTCCATGTAGCCGGCTTCATCAAAGCCAGTCCCGCGTCCTCTGGGCCTTGGCATGATCTCCGGATCTACTTTGATCCGCGCCTTGCCCGACAATAGCTTGAGCGAATCTCGGCCAGCCCTTGCAGGAGCTGCCAGCCCGACGGTGATGATCGCTCGAGGCCACAAGGAATGCGCCGATCGGCGTCGGTCCTCCCTTTTGCCGGCAGTCTGGGCGCAAGCCTTGGGCCCGTCGCCCTCTAACCACTCTACTCCGACTTCTTGCCAGCTGTCTGCCAGGAGATGGATCGACTGTCACTTGCCTTAGCAGTCGTTCTGACTATATGAATATGATGGCAACATGGCCCCACACCTTACCGAGCCATGCAGCTATTCCCCTCCGTCCTCGCTTCCCGGCAACCAGGCGAGAATCATGCCATACGCGGGTCTACTCTCGCTGTTACGCGCCCACCAAGGTCTCGCACAGAGGGATCCGAGCAATCGAGGAAACTCGTGGATATGCCGGACAGGGGCTTAGGCTTTTCCTCGCCTTCCAACCCCAGGCTTGCTCATGTGAGCCTGAGGCTTCAGGTGCTGTCCACCCAGCGCACTGGCTACTGGAAGCCCCGCGCGCCATCCAGGCTTACTACTCGTCACTTTACCGTGCCCTCATTTCTCGAGGCTCCCAAGCTAGATACTAGACCAGAATCTAACGAGTCGTCGCAAGCTTGTGTTCATTGGTGAAATTCGGGTTGTGATGCACTGGTCGAGTCAACGAATATCCAGTGTATTGGGCTCCCCGCTGACCCAAGACTTGCCCTGCTGAGATATTGGTTTGTTACTAGGATGTCCGTCGTGTGTGTCTGTCACGTTAACCAGAGCATGCAGGGAAGAACACGAATTGGGTAATGGAGTAATTCTACTACAGATCAGTCGTGGAACTGTGGGTGACAAAAACTCAACGCCTGCAAGCCGTGTTCGCTGCCAACCCTTGGATTTCACGGTTAAACTGCAGAGTCGAGATTGAGAAACAACTATTCAACTTGGAGCTGAGCTATCTTCGTCTCCCTCAAAGATGCGCTTCCGATAACGTTGATGACGCTGGGAAAAGTGTTACGGTATCAGGCGGTGTAATGTTATTTCAAAAAGACCCTTCCATTCCCTAGGGAGGCAAATTTCGACTCTTCAAATATCGACTCATTGCATCTTTACTTTCGACGATCCTAGCCAGGAGAGCATTCAAAGCACATGAGTACTCGACCAACTTATATCTGCAACCACTTTTGGATGCTAGGCTCTGCTCCTTCAAGGCGGTCACCCTCAACCAAGACGTTTCTGACATCTTTTTGGGACTTTTGGTTGTCCTGTGGCACGAATCGGGGAAGGGGTGAGACACTCCCGAGCATATTCAGGCCTGCTACGCCCGACTGGTCCGCCTCTTGGAACGCTTCAAATGAGTAGCTTTGTCTCCGCACCTAGGCCTAATCTCGGTATTAGGAGAGTCCCGCACTCAGTGGTTTCTGATACAATACTCTGTAGCTACACCCGCATAAATGGCCACCATTTCGTTGGCTAGAGAGAGACGGTAATGACGGGATAACGGCTCCTCTTCGCGTATAGATAAATAATGACCTATACGCTCATCAACGCTGGAAAGAAGTCGTGAAGCAGACATAGCAGGGGCTACGCTACCCGACATATAGATACTCTCAGCCTGTAGGCAAGAAAGGCCTTCACATACTTGTATACTCACAAACTCAATAGCGACATAAATATAAATAAATCATAACATTTTAATCCCGGATTCCGTCATCCTGAAAAACATCAAAATTGTGGAAAAAAAAGGACTTACAGCTTTCAGCACTCATAGTGAGACACAAATGTGGACCTGGCTTTCGTTCTATTCCCGTCTACTCTGATTATCCCTCTTTTCACACCCCTGTCTATCGTCACCTCTACAATCTGTCTCCATATTGATGACACTATCGCTTTTGGACCAGTGATAGACCTATGTAAGCAAAAGCCTGCTTAGAGAGACAGATACTGCAGTTTGAGCTTCCTGAGCATATATTCTGCCTAATAACACCTAGACTCAATTGTAAAATGTGAGGCTACTGTGGTAACAAAATTTCGTGCTGTTAATAACCTACCTTGTTCGTTGTGTCTAGGCTGATCATTGTCATTTATGTTGTCCATGCTAATAGTAACAAACTTTGAAGTAAAATACCTACTTCAATAGACCGAGAGGCTCAAGGTTGTAATTAGTAATGGTTCAGGTTTTTTTCAATGTTAGCATCTAGCCCAAGAAGGTCCTTTGTCTCATGGATGAGTTTCTAATGGTCATCAAATTGATTATCGGGAATGGCAATACTATAGCACTAAACTTGTGAAGACATGATCAGATTGTGCAAAAATATCATCCGGTCTATCTCCTTTACGTCGGTAACTGATTTCTTTCCAAGTATGAACCAAGTTTGAAGTTATGGTCAGAAGTGATTACTCTATGGAAATTTGCACCTCTGGCTACAAGCCTTCCTATTTCCTTCCTGACAGATTACTCCACCCGCGCTTGGGAAAAACGTAATAGGACCACTCTTTTCCAGTCCACTCCTCGGCACGCCGGAAAAAATCATATGTAATCCCAATTGACACCTGCCCCGTTTATTGATTGTTGCAGCCTGATTTCCCATCGGCGAAAAATTTGCAGTGCCCAACACCGATAATGAACTAAATTATTCCCAATTTTTGTTACCAACATATACATTGTTCTTCCTTTACTATCCCCATACAGGGGCCTGTACGCCAAGTGAAGATTTATTCCCCCAAACACTACTCTTACCCCACCCAAGACCAAGTTCCTGCTGGCCTTGTCCATTTTGATTGGAATTGGCATTGCCGTGTTGAGCCTCAAGTTCACCTTGCGGTGCTTCATTAGCGGCGAATCCATAGCTCAATGGCGATGGTAAGGGTGTCGTAGATCGTTTACCGTGCGTTGCATTCATAGTTTGTCCACTAGGACGAGTTCCAATTGGGGCAACGCCGGAGCTTGAAGATTGCTTTCCTCCCGGACGAGGTGACTCAACGGGCGAAGATGTAGAGGTGCGGTTTGATTGTTGATTATTTGAATCAAATATACTATAACTACCAGGGGCATGGGACGGAGACGACACACTGTTAGCGCGTGATTTTTGCTGCCCAGAAACTTGAGTGTTAACTAGTTTAGGTTCGCCCTGCGACTGGCCGTTTTCGCTCATAGCGTGGGTTTTAATCTGCTCGTAGGCACGCGGTGAGTGGCCGCGTAACCCATTACCTGGTTGGGTGTTACATTGAGATCGACCTGCGGCTTCTTCGAATCCTCCATCGCTAGCGAACGATGGACCATCTGTGTAAATGGTACTGCGCTGACGGTTAATTAACTCGATACGATCTTCATCTTTCATTCCTGCGCTCGGGCTGATGTTTCGATCAGCCTTACTAGTAAACGTTGTAATCTCAGCTGTTACACCTTAGCCGTGTCAGCAAAAAGGGACACAATTAAAAGCCATCTTATGAAACACTTATCACACAAAGCACTGAAAAAAGTTGGATGGGATGAATGGACCACCAGGCTTTAAAGGGAATATGAAATTTGTTATATAGCGGAAGCAGAGGGTGGCCTACTTCGATTATACTGCTGCTCTTGATGATAATTCCGAAGCTCTCTCTCACGTTGAGCTGCCATCCGTCTCTTCGCCTGCATAACCTGTTCGGCCTCGTTAGTGCCGCGAGATGGTTGATGACGCTGGCTAGCATAGAAGTTTTGTAAATTAGACGCCGAGAATGATCGATTATCTCCAAATTCACTAATAGAATGATGTCTAGGAGGGCCCCCTCCCATGCGGGGATCTAAGTATGTAAGCCAGATATTGTTTTTACTAAAGATTTTCCTACCCAATGATGGTTCAATGTATGCTCTTGGTAGGCATCCAACTACCGGCATGGACTCTCGCCGACCGGACGTATTGAACATTTTGCCGCTTTTAACCAGATTGTCAACGGCACGATCTACCTCTGTGAGATTATTAGCGAAATAATTCTCCTATTTTCTTGCTCAAATCAATTGAGGGTCGTAACTATTAAGTTACATGCCGCAACACTTAATTCTAGAAAATAGTATCCTATGTTGGTAGATTGTCTACGTACCCTCTATTTGTGTTGCAAAGGCATTCGAATCTTCACGTGGGACTGCCGAGCTTGCACCTATCCGTAACTTAGTCATTTGGAGAGCTTTCCCAAAGCCTCAAACGTACCTGACCGAGCTGGTGGTGTTTGTTGTTCCCAAACTTGAGGGCCTGAGGAGGTCCATTGCTGATTATCGTAATAAGACATGTCTCGCAACAAACCGAGGCAGAATTGCCAACACTGGTTGTGCGGGACTTAGAAGCACTCTTATGTCGAACAGTTGTTTGGATAATACTAGAGCTGCAGGTCTGGTCTCTCATTAGTATACCGGACTAAGGTTGAAAATATTTGATCGAGAAAAAAATGTGCGAGGAAATTATGTATTTCTGCACATGTAGTTTTTTTAAATGAAGAAAATTAACTGTGTAGGCACTGCGACCTACAACAACTATAGGGACTAGCTGGTGAGACACTGAACTTCCCTCACCTTCAACCGTGATAATTAGTAGGCGCCGACAGAAGCGGATAAGATATAGCCGTTATTTTTGTAATCGAATTCAGCGCCGTCGTCGTTGAGGTTTTTTTTGGCGAGAGAAGAGCGATGTAGAACATAAAGAAACTAGCAGACCGAGAGAAGTTGAAGAATGTGTTGGACCCGAAAGGGGGTTAGAATGGGGACAAAGAAGGAAGATCCTTGGGAATCGGTGGGGATGTGACCGCCTCAATTAGGCAATAACTTTTTTATTTGACGAGATTTATGCCTTGTTACCCAAGGCAACTAAAATCATCAGTTTAAACTTGCGTTTGGTGCAGCAAGTAGCTTGCTCATAAGGGGTAGATGAACATATGAATGCGATCTTAGGTCGTGATGGTCTAGGTGAAGTAACAGTAATTCCTATCGTAACCTACACATGAAATTCGAAATGAAAATGAGATTAGGCTTAACCAAATATAGGGCTCAAGCCATTATAAGTGTTCTACTGATTATTCATGTTCAAACTGTAACAGTTGATCGTACTACAGAGATTAGTTCGGTCACCGCGTTGAAGCTCCATGCAACAATCTATGTGTCATCGACAAGCAAACATCGTACTCCCGAGTAATCAGCACCTTGCAAAATATATTTATTTCAGCTAGTTTGATGAACTACAGCTACATGAATGTGACAACTTATACCTACGTCTCGTTCTGATTTTCCCTAACCCACACACTCGCATGCATGAGGCAGAGACTGCACCACCCTCATGTAACTCTATAATGAACTTGTCAATTAATCAAACTAGGGTATTTGGTGGGGGGGGGCTCAATTTGTTTGTTTGATCAACCATCACTCGTACTCTCACTCCCACGGCCCTATTTGATTATGCGCTCCCTCCAAATTTCCGAGATGACCCATTGATTTATTTAACATGGTACACCGAATTGCTATGATTGTCGAATACAGGAATCTCGCAATTAACACTGAGATGTGTCTATCGGAATCTTCGTCGTTATCTATAACCAAATAGATTTTGAACCTCTGGGGGCTTACATCTTACACTGTGTACATTATAAAGTAAGTTGTTACAGAGCTCCAAACTATTGATTCTTGGCTCTCCATGAGCAGTGTTCGTGTAGATTTTTACCTTCTGAACAGCTACAACCACAAGTTTTCATTAAAGGCGTTTTAATCGAACATCCGCACACACCGTCTTACTGTCAAGGCAACCTTTAAATTAATACAAGGCAAAGTCGCGCTGGCCTGCCTTCGACTTTGATAGTTGACCCGTTTCCCAATGAATAAATGCGGCAAATCATCGAAGTAGCCGTTCAGAGGGCCACATCGATAGCAACAAACACTGATCCAGACACATATTGTAGATTCGATCTGCGACATGACATATCAGAGTTCACCTCGATAGCTTCGTTATTGATACAATACAACTGGACTAACTCCCTGATGGAAAATGTAGGGCTAAAAATACGTCTTATTAAGGGAAAAAACAATTAGCCAGCTCGTAGACTAGTCTACCGTTATCTATCACAGTTAGAAAGCTTTGTAAAGTTGTTGAAGCCAAAAGAATTACTTTCCATGGCTAAATCGTAGATATCTTGTGAGGCCACTCAACCCAATCACTAGGCACCGCTACAATGTAAAGGACAAATAGTAAAGCTGCCAAAATTCCTACGCTCACATCAAATTATAATCCATTTAATTCTTTTATCATTTTGCAACTATTCATGACAATCGGTCACGTTGAAGAGCTAGTAAGAAAACACTTGGCAAGATCTGTACGGCGGGAGTAGGTTCTCGCCAGAAACCTACAATATACCATCACAATAAAAAGTCTTAAATGGAAGGCAAAGGTTGTCCATTGCTATGACCGAGAGACCTCTACCTGAAATATTGCGCAAGGTATCAAACCCAGGTAACCGAATGCAGCTAGAGCTAATGGAGTATCATCCTCCACAAATGATCTAACACACATCAAACAAGCCAGTCCGGCCTTACGAGCGCATATTTCTATGGCTCAAGTTAGATCAATCGGGAAGATGCAAGGCCCTCGACTTTACCAAAGTAAAGCTCAAGAAAACCTATGTCTAGAAAATTCAGTAATCAAGTCATATAGGGTTATCCGGTACTGAATAGCTTTACTGTCACATGGGTCCAGTCCTGAGTGAAAGCAAGATTTGACAAACAGCCTTTCTATTTGCACTGGGCAAAACTATAAATAAAGGTTTACGTTATTTGATCGAAAGACCACATTTTGTGACGGCACAATCCCACTGTACAGTCCAATCTCACAGCAAGAATTAGTATTCTTTTTTGGTATACTCTGGGTACACTGGTCGTTTGCCTAAACTATTTATACCAAGCGGGTAACTATGTTAACTTTGGGTTCAGCACTTTAACACACTGAGAAGTAGATGAAAGTGCTGTTATCACAGGAGCTGCAGCCCTCGAGAGAACGCGAAAGAAACTAGAAGACGTTTCCAATCCAATCTCTATCCTTGCCCTGAACGTTCTGGGTTGTCTTTACATCTTCTAAGAGCCAATGACAGTAACAATAGAAATATTGAGAGAAGTAGCTCACTAAACAAGGGATCAATCTTGAACTACGCTTTTTACAACAAGCGTGGCAGACCACTTACCAGTTGGTCACTGCACTTCAAATTGAAAAATATTCGGAGCGCGTAAAAAGATTATTCGAAGAAATCGATCGGCTTCATGAACTCTTTTGCATCCCAATATCAGGAAAACAACTGATACTTGGAAACCAAACTATAAAAATTTATGTACAAGCAGAATAATTCATCCGAAGCGGCTCTGTTCAGCATCAGGCACCCGCTTGCGAGGAATCAATTCCGATATGCAGACTACAGCGGGCCATACAGATCAGTAGAAATCTGATACAGCTCATAAGAGATCATTTATTTATAATCTGAAAGCAAGACAAAAATGTAAGGCTTATAGTCATTGGTGAAGAATTCTATGTCTATCACTTACAAAGGCAACCTAAAGCAAGTAGGCTGTATGGTGGCAGTTAACCTCTCGCATAGTTAGTGGCCGAGTATAGAATGATCTTACAGCCTAACATGCCTAATCATTAATATGGAATTACTTTAAACTTATTCTGGTATAATATAGGAGCTCTTACTGATGTGTCATACTAATCAGAGCAACAATAGATTATTGAACTCTTGCTGGAGACGTCACGCGTCCTAACCTAAAGAACACGGCCGAAATTAGTAGCTGAATAATAGCTAGATGACAACTACAGTCTTGAGAAAGGAAAATAAATTCCACTGACACACATTCTGTCGTAAGATTAATTACTTATATTAACGGCACGCAATCATAGATGAGACCAAATCATTCTGCTACGCCTTCGTACACTAGAGACTGTCAAGGGCGTAAGTCGCCACCTAGAGGAAGAATCTGGCTAACAATCTGGCTTGGAATCTAATAAAACTATCATTCAAATGGTAAAAAGATGTCACAGCTATTGCCGAAGGCCAAACTACGGCTCAGTCAGGCAAATAAGACTAATGTAGCCAAAACTATTTACTAATTAACTACACAGGTATCTAATTACTTTTGCGTGGATATCAATGGTTCTGGTGAGTCTTGTCGTCATAGTGCAAGTTTATATCAGCACTGATGCGTTTGTAAGGATGATAAAGTACCATGTTAGTGAAAAAGTTGATCTCATATAAAATATGGTCAGTCTTAAGATCCTCTTCTATCCTCTGTTTTAATCAATATACATGTACTGGTACAATCTTCCTTGAGTTGGTCATGTCTATGCATCGACTCAGTCACTTAGTTATGAAGCAATACTATCACTATTTGTTTTGCATATATGGTCTGATAATTGAGGATTGTTCACTCTTAACAGCGTTTGCAGTCTATGCTCTACCATATGTAGCTGTTAACTTTCTTATATCTAGATTTTTTTTTATGTATAGACATTTTATTTCCATTAGTTATTTGCGGCGGGTACACTGAGCTAGGCCCTAACCAGTATTTGGATAATGCTACCAAGTAGAGGCACTGTAAAATGCACTAGTTTCTCTATTTTATTCATAACAAGTTTGATTCCTGTGTAAATATGTCGCCTCCTTCCTTAAGAGATATTCAGTTCATTACATCTACTGAATATCTCTCAAGGTCAAATTTATTATTCTCTCTTATTAACTTCTACAGCTTTACACTTGAAGCTCTATTCACCTGCTTCTGGGCCTCAAGGAGCTTAGTACTTGAAAGTTCCAACCACCACGCCTGGTCTTTAATCTGACAATTAAGTCTACAGTCAAGGTGTGTTTGTTTATTGTACTACTTGATTCTTTGACTATCTAGCACATTTGGCTCCTCTCTGATCCAGGCCACACCTTGTACAGTGCTTATATCCTCCTTTGATACTTGTAAGATCATTGATATATTGCCCGTGATGAACTGCCATTCGGCTCAGTGTTTATCCGTGAAATTCGGCCACCTTTTCCACGGAACCTTCTACCCAAAAAAATGGTAGCAATGGAAACTGCGTGCGCGGGAAAAAGTCTCGAAAATCCCGTAGACCTAGTTACACATGCGCGCACATCCATCTACATGTCCCTTCTTTGTAACAGTCGAGGCCAACTTGATCCAATCTACCATCTTCGTCTTGGGTGCTGGGTACGCTCCGAAAACTCATCGGATGGCTTTTCCTCCATGATCAAGGGTTGGT